CGGACGATGACGACGACGAGGAGTCAGAGGCGGAGGCAGAGTCATCGGAGGAGGAGACCGGAGACGGTTCTAGCTCGGGCTCCGATGACGACGCTGATGATGCTCCTAGACCCTTGTCCAGGAAGAGGACTAGGACGGACTGACGGCCCCCCGGAGTCGCTGGACATGGATGCAGATTTTTGCTATATTCTTCTTTTTTCTTGTACTTTTCTTTTTGTTGGTAGATAGATTACCTTGTACTGCCGCAGGCAGATTTTTGTTTCCAAAACTTGTACATTTGAAAAGATAATGAAATGAAACAGACTTTTTATCTGAAAAAGTGTTTACATTTACACATTTCATGCATTGCATCGCATTTCATCATGTTACATCTCAATGTAAATGGAATTGATTGGTTGTCTGAAAATTAAACACTTGCACCGTAATAATCAGATAACTTGAACAGCCAACAGCAAAAATAACCCAAGCAACCCACTGCCTGATTCTTGGACACACGACCCTTGCTCCGTTGGGGATTAATCTGCATACAGCCCATAACACAACATTCGATTCATTCTGCACACAGCAAATTCTCAAACAAACAGCCCAATCTGACAGGACGGACCTCAAAGGTGGAACCGGTTGAAGTCGAAACACACTCAAATGTAGAGAATGGCACGGCATTCTGAGCATAAATGATTTTTGAAATCGAACGAGGGTTTTTCAAACCGGGATATCGAGCTTACAACTGAACACAGCAGGGAGGACTCAAATAAAAAGGTACACGACCTAACACAACGAGACACGCTCGGAAAAGACCTAAAACAAAAGACGAGACCGTCAAATGAAAGAGACACGACACACAGACGCGTAAACGAAGATGGGGGACCTCGGACCACGAGGAGCGAGTTCAATCTAGGTATTGTTTCCCACCCTTTCTGATTTGTGATCCTCACATTACTCGACTCTCAAGCTCGGATTTTTCTTTCAAAACCCTTTTTCTCGCTTTTCTCTCAACTTACACCTCTCTATTCTTCAATCTCTCATTTTCCATCCCTCCCCAAGGTGATTGATGGATAAATAGGACGGTGTGGGTTCATGCTCAATACCGTTAGCTCACGGCCGTTTCTTCTGGCGGGCAGAGTGCTTTTCTGGCAAGTACGTCGGTGACGGGGGAAAGACAGAACGCCTGGCTCAACTGTGCCCCTAGTTCATCATTTTAACCATTTTTTCGTTTTTGCTTCCTACTAAAACGGTTTTGATCAAAACGAGAGTCGGATTAGCGTACTTGTTCAATTTTTGATTTGAAAACCGTGCAAGTCAGGCTGTAAGCACTGAAAATTTTCCTTTTTGGGTCCAAAACAATGGTCTGATTTTGGAAAATGGAATAGTTTTCGAGAAGATAGTCAACCTCAGTAAAAAATTTTCAAAAACTATTTTTCAAACAGTCAATGCTCAACGAGCATGAAACTTACTCTTCGAGATGCGCAACCTCGGATCGGAGGTAATGGAAAATTGCCCCTGGTTTGAAGGGGGGTGGGAGGCAACGGAAAGTTGCCCCTAGTTTGGAAGGCGGCTCACAGTGGCTCGTGGCAACGGAAAGTTGGGATGGTGCCGCAGCAGTCCGCAGACAGTCTTCATTGGCAGTGGTCGAGTTCTTGGACACAGCGATGACGAAGACGGTCACAACACATATATGGACACAATCACCTTGAAGGGTGTTGGCCACTGGACTTTGAGATGAAATCAAAACCATTGCATGGACTGGGACGCTATGAAAGCGTTGGGGGCTGGACTTCATGATGAAGTTGCCTACGTATCCCAAACATGGGAATCAAGCCTTACGTAGTTCCGGTTAAGGTCCACTCGGGCATTTTAACCTTCACTTTTTAGGCTCTTACTTTTGCCAAGGCGCCCGATGCGGGTTTTCGACCTTGCGAGCTTCTTTTCATTTTCTATTTCTTTTTCATTCTTTTTCTTTTCTTTTTTGCATTTTTTGTCTTTTTTTCTTTTCTTTTCTTTTTTCTTTTTTTTTTTGTATTTTTCTCTTGCTCTAACTTTTGCCTGGGCCGCCCTTCCGGGTTTTCGGCCTAGCGAGCCTCTCAAAGGGTAAAAGTGTAGCAAGTCCATGCCAAATGGTTTTTTTGAAATTGAAGCCTCTCTGTGTCTAGGAGAACGGCTGTTGCGCTGATTTGCGGAGAATCCATCCCGATTGCTCCACGAGCTTCTTCCGGCGAGATCCACTCCTTCTAATTCGACTTTGATGCTTCTTGATCGAAGGCTACTTCAAAACTGGCCATACAGGCCTTTCATGGCGTTTGTCCGTTGAACTTTCTGAACATTCTGAACGGGTTCAAAGTCGGAAAACAAACAGGTTGGATCTTGAGGCTGAGAGCGATCCTAGGCTGCGCAATCTCAAGAGGGATTCCACACAAGTCTTCGCAGGGCCGCGTAAAACATTTGTTTTTGAAAGTTTTTAAGAAAGCGACGAATCGCTCGCGCCGAAGGTAGTGCGGAACCAATCTGGATCAGGCCAGGATCCTTCTCAGTACTTACGCTGACAAGCATGGTTTCACTCATAAAAAGGCTTAGCACGCCTTTCTTTCTCTCAAAATGATCAAAATTTTGCAAAACCCGAGGAATTCCTTCCTCTTCGTTTTTATCACCGCAGTGTTCAAAAAGTTTGTTTTTTGGAAAACTTAGGTTAATGCAATGAGTTTGGCACGCAGGAGAGCAGGCGAGATGTACTGTCAGCCCGATCAAATTCTCTGGCACTTATGCTGAAAGCAAGCACGGAGTTTGAGATAGCAACAGCTGTTTTGATCGGCTTTGTTGGTGCAACTGGCTCCTTGGCCAAAACAGACTCAGAACAAAAACAGACAATAATTACAAAACAAAATGGTGTTCGGGACAACAACCCCAGAATCACCAGGTATTATATACAACGGGGACTGACTCGATACAACAAGACAGACCCTTAAGCAAAAAAGACTGACTCAAGACAAAGAGACAGACTCAAAACAAAAGACTGACTCGATATCCAAGCCAGGATTTACAAAACTCGGTTTCACCGATGCTCTCAAAAATGCGTGCCAGACGTGGTACGCGCAGTACAAGGTAGCATCATGGGTGGCGGGGAGATTCTTCGGGAGCGGTCGGGGCTCCAAAGGCTTAAGATGCCCATTCTTTGCCAATATTAACAATGCCCTAGACAAAGGCATGTGGAGGTCATGAAAAACCCTGCGCCCTCGGGGCAGGTACTTTGCAGTTTGAGGATTCTTGCCAGATGCGCTGGCGAAAGGATCAGCTGGCGCTGCCTTGGCTTTTTGAACCTTCCCCGGTGTAGGGTTGGGAACTACTGGAATTTTCTGGGCATGACGGGGCCCGTCCCGGTTTTCTGTCTGGCTTCAACTGCCCTTGGTTGGAGCGGGGAAAGCATCATCTACAGCTTTGGTCACTATTGCAGATGTTTGTTGCTTGTTCATCCCTCTGGCCTTCAAAGCCTCGACTGCCCACAGCAGTTGCTCAATCGGGTCGGCGTCTATCTTTGCCTTGTCCTTTCCTTTGGCCTCAGCCTGATCATCATTGCCATAGCTGGAGGCAACCTCTGGTTGGCTAAGCTCGATCACAATCCACCCTAGTAGCGGGGGCTCCTGTGGTACAAAATTCCCGGCATACGGTGCCGCTGGCGGTGAAGCCGACATTCCATAGGCGAGGTCTGCCACAGACCTTTGGAGATCGCCTATCATCCCCATCAATTCGAAGGTGGTGGGCTCACGAGCCTGGTATAACTGGGGAGCCCAAACCGGGTGCACAACGGGCATCCTGGGCGGGTGTGACATACTGATGCTGGCCTCACTCTGCGAAGCGGTTCCCTGCTCCGGTGCGGCTGCCATAACCACAATTTCTTCTGGACTTTGTGCCGTCATAAATCTTGCCTCGGCAAAGGGGGACACTGGCTATTCTGTTTCAACTTTGCGACTCTCTGAACTGAAAGGAAAAATAGACAGCATTTCAGCCCAAACTGATCAACCACGGGTGTAGCTACACAACTGTTCCCTTCTACTAATCACTGTTCTCAGAAATTACTGTTCCCGAAAACTGAACCGATGCCCGCGGATAACCGATTCTCACAACTGATACTGATACTGGTGTCCCCAGGTTTGATACTCAAACTTGCAAACTGACATGTGCGTTCCTGTAGAGATACACTCTAAAAGCACATAGCAAGTAAAGATCAAACTCGCAAGCTGGTATATACGTTCCTGTAGAGATACACTCTAAAAGCACATAGCAAGTAAGTGAGAGCCAAAACACCCCTATGTTGGGGTAGGGTTTCCCTGTCCTATTTTGTCAGGAACTAGGGTTTCACTACGCACACAGCGGTTTTCAAACAACTTAGCATCGGGTGAGCAACCTGTCCTATCTTGGAATGGTCACCATGGATCCGAATATGCACTAGGTCGAATGGTCAAAAAGGGTGCCCCGGTAAACCGGGGTTTGTGTTCCCATACTGTCAGAGCCCATAACCGGTCAGCCTTATGGTCATGCCTTGACAAGACAAGCCTCCGGCAAACCGTTCAGGAATGGCAGATGGCAAACACTGTGTTCCTAGGCGCACCAATGCACATGCAATGCAAAGAAACACATAAATGAAATCAAAACAGGATATCACGAGTTCGAGTCAAACTCTCTAAAAATCCCCAGCAGAGTCGCCAGAAACTGTAACAGCGCCCGCGTTGGAGCTCGTGCTACAGTTCGGACTCGATTTGTGTCAGGGTTCTTAATCTGAACCAAAGAGTCCAAATCCGGATTACCATATATAAATATGACATATACATAGAATCAATAAATCCAAAATGAAAATCTTCTATGTATGAACAAATATTTTAAAGTCATAAAACCAAATATACATAGAATCAACAAATCTAAAATGAAATCTTGAAGTGATTATATATTCTTTACCAACTAAAGAAATTGTTGATTAGTAATTTAAACAACGGAAGTTATATCATACTTACATTGGATTTCAACTCATATTCTTTAGTACGAAATTAATCCATTCAACTCGCACTTCATCAAGTTCAGTTTCCGTGTAAGTCTTTTTTCCATTGAACTGCAAGAGGTTTTTCCCATACATGTATATATATACATTAGCACATAACTAACCTAACAATATATTTACAAACAATTAGGATGTAATCAATTCTGGAGACTCCAGAAGAGGAATAATTTTTTGAATTTTCTACTATTGCTCCAGTTGTTTCCTAAAAGCTGTCAAGAAGCAGAACAAATTTATGTATATAAACCCAAGGTTTTACCTTTATTTTCTTTAGATATTCAAAGCAACCAAAAAGGTCATATGATTTAATTGAATTTCAGTAGTCTTTTTAACAAAGAAGAAATACAAACCAGAATGAAGAGAAATCAAGTCTGCAGTCCTTTGGTAATACATCGAATAAACACTGCAATGGAAAAACACTCAGAATTATTTAAAAATAAATAAATACTAAATGACGAAAACCAACATAATACAAAATCTTGGTTAGGGTTTGTGATTTTGGACTTCTAGAACTATCTCAATGGTCAATGACATATACATAGAATCAATAAATCTAAAATAAAAATCTTAAATGCATGGCCAGATATTTTAAAGTCATAAAACCAAATATACATAGATATGACATATAGTCATCACACTAAAATATAGAACAGGAAAAAATCATCAACACTACAAACTAAAACAAGAAAAGCATCCACTTTCTGTAACATGTATAACCAGCCACTTGCATAAAAATGAAGAACATTGTGAACCTAAAAGGAAATGAACAATCAATAATTTTCAATTCAAACAATGTCAATGATTTAATTTAACAAATGAGATCAAAAGAGTGCCATTCAACAAAAGTTGAAGCAAGGATTTACAAAATAGCAGCAGAATAGAGCCTTCATAGTCAAGGTTGGTGGCAAAACCCAAAAAGGAGAAGACCTAATGATAATAATAAGTCATATCATACACCCACAATATTAATCTTTCAGCCAGTTGCTTGAGAGAATGAATATATAGAATAAATGAAATTCAGTAATAATGATGCTGAACCTTATTAAGGCCTCTATGGGCATCACTATTGTGTTTAAATTTCAGTACTGTGTTCGGAACCACTAATATGATGCAGATTCTATTTGCTGTCTTCCCATCCAATATAGAACCCAAATTATATTTTGTTTGTGCATTACGGGATAGGATCCACATATTCATGTGCAAACCATTTCTCAGTTGACAAGAAAGGGCCATCATAAAATCAGAAACATTGCACATACTAATCTCAGTGCTAGCTTTTGCTGAAGAAGGATATAAGACAGTGCATTTTTTGTTCCAGTGCTTTGGGAGTTCTGAAGCCAAAACCTTAGTGGTTGCTGAAGAAAAATTCAAAAATTAAATTAAATTTTACCAAGTAGTTGTGAGATTCCAAGTGAACAAGGGGTGAAAAGCAAAACGCCATGTTTAACAGAAGGTATGCAAAGAATATTTTTAGATGATTGAGATAGGAAAGAAAAGCATAAACTAAATATATTTTGGCAAGTTATTCCCCACAATCAAGCTTCATATGATGTAGCGATTAAGTATTCAACATTAAAAGGTTTCTCTGTTTTCAAAATTAGCTCCATTGGTTTTCTTACGAGGTAGATCAGAAAAAGTGTGACGAGAATTTTTCAAGAATGAAGGTGAACTAGTGACAGAATATCTAGAAATATGTTATAAGATTGGAATTCTGCAGAAAATTGTGTTACTCAAAGAACCATAAGCATGTATCAAATGAGCTGAAGGGAAAAAAATATAAGGAAAAAAGAAAAGGATTAAGAAGGTTTTTAACTAAAATAACAAAACTAAATAATGTTTGACATTGCTAATAAAAATTAAAATATACCAAATAAATGAGTCAACAAAGAAGCTTCAAGTCAATTGATAATAAAAACAAGGAAATTCTATCATATAAAGAAAAAAAAACCTTCTTAATCCTTTTCTTAAAAACAAGGAAATTCTATCATAGTCAAAATAAATAAATAAAGAAAAAAAAATCCAGTTTCGATCATTCATGTTGACAATGCAATGATTGCTGATGTGCATCATATATTTGTTATAGAAGAAACCTCCCCGAATGTAGCAAGGCCACACACCATTTCAAGCATTAGAATGCACTAAATGAGTATGTGTGTGATGAGAACCATCAATTTGATCCATTAATGTATATTAACTACAATGACATGATCTGAGAATTGACCAAAAATATGTAAAGAAGTATTTCTTACCTGGGCAGATGAATGACTCATATTACCCAACAGATTCAATTACCTGGATGCACAACCCAAGCAATGGAGAAATCTCTTTCTTAAGGTTATCTCGAATCATTCCATAAATCTTTTCTACAAATGCTGTAAGTTGCTGCTTGAAAAGCAAAGCTGGGTATTTGGCTTCAACTTGGTGTAAAGCTTCTGCTCCACTAGTCAGGCCACCATTTACAAAGGAAAGATTAACTCCTTGCGGAGTTCCTCGGAAACTCTGTAAATAAAAATAATAGCAAACACCTGAACTAACGAAAGGACTAAAACTTCGTTTGATGACAGAACATGGAAATTCAAATGGGAACTTTAAATTACCTGTGTCATCCTTCTAAACAGAGTAGCCGAGGATAATCGACGGCGCCCATTCCAGCGGCACCACTTGCTTTCAATGTACGCTGTAGCAGCAGCAGAAGAGACGAGGAATTGGACAACCAATAGGCTAAGATGTCATTGTTATCCTGGGTCTTTAATCCAAATAATAATATTTAGTTATGAGAAGCCAATTATGACAAAAAGGGAAAACAAGACACACTAGTAGCATATAGGATTAGATTATTCAAACCTCGATAGCATGGCCTATGGTCCGAATGATTCGGTCAAACACACTAGTCCGCTCAACTTCAAAAGATCTCCACTGTAGAAGGCATTTGTAGATGATACTAGCAGCAATTGGTCTGTTCCCTGCGAAGCCTAGGTGTTGTCCAATACATCGGATAAGAAGCTCTTGATTCTCTTGCTGTTTCTCATTAAGAGATTTTTGTGGTTTGTCCTCTACTTCTGAAAGACCCTTTGGTTTAATGAAGGGCTATGCAGATCCTAAGGCATTTTTAACAGTAATCAACAAAAATGCATGTTTAACAAAAGGATTGATGAAAACATGAAAATTTCATAAAACATTAAAATTTACCTAAGTTGTCTTTGTATCCACAAACAAATGACCACTCTCACCACCTCTCTGCCAATAGATGAAAACATGAAAATTTCATAAAACATCCACAACATTAGTTCATGATTTGAAGAAGATTGATTTCTGGGAGAACCTGAAGAATTGATCTGGAGCGTCCTGAGAGGATCTTATTAGGTGCCATGGAGACAGCCTGCTGACAAAGGACCTTATTCTCTGATTCTATATTGGTGAGTTTCTCTTCTAACCTGATTTGAATTCCAATAATTAACTAACTACATCCGATTTCATGAAAACAGAAGCATGAATATTTTCATAGATGTAGCTAATGGCTTTGTAACAGCAGCAAATAAATTTTGTGTTGCACAAGAATACCAATATGTTGATAACTAAGCAAACATGAACTATGTTGTTATTGACACAGGAAATTTCAACAGTTCAATGCATACATGTACACCATATAACTGAGAAAATAACTAAAAAAATCAACAATCAGAAGCACTTGCTTTTTTTTTACCAGAATCGTTTAAATCTTAACTGGGTTATGGGCAACTGGCAAAAAGCATACAAGAGGGACAAAAAAAATTTCAAGTTCAAACAGTATAAAATATGTTAATGAACTACAACATCATAGGAAAATGCAAGAAATTCACTTTGCTGACAATAACTAATGATCAAATACAACAATAGGATTAGGTTGTTTGGTGAAACATCAATTTAAAACTGCTGAAGAAGACTGGACTGTTGCTCTTTACATGCTTTCATGAATCCTATGAGAAGGAAGGCAGCATTGGGATGTAAAATAAATTGAGATCCAACAGAATGAATAGAAGATAAATAGTTGTACACAATGATTAATGACAAGCTGTTGGGAACAAACAAAATAAATTAGTGTTCTTAAAGAAACCAACACAGAGATCAACGAACGGTTTCCTCAAATTTGAAATTCATGCTCACTGAGGGAAGAGTGCATGACTAACCAGACTTCAGTGTATGGAGCTAAAACCCACACAATATGAAATACAAAAGCTAGAGAGGAGAGCATCTTAGGACAATGTTGGAAGCGGGAGTTCATGTGAATCAACAATGGAAAGGTTACTCGAACAAAGGATTAAGCTACTTAGTTTTGGTTACCAATCCATGATGATGGTTGTCCAAGATACAATAGTAATTATTCCTTTCAAGCAAATGATTTCCATATAATGACAAGCGCCATTTCCCACTTCATACATCATTCTAGCGGCCCCAAAGAAAAAAAACTAGCAGCCATCATTTGTGTGTTTTGCGGTTGGTGCACATGAGATAATAACCAGAAAGTTAAAAGTGGAAAAAATTGATAATAATACTAAAATTTAAATAGTGGACCATGTACTAACATATAATATAATCACATTGCACAACCAAAAGGACAGGATTGCTTCCATTGACAATGCACAAAGCAAAAACAAAAAAAGAAAAAAAAAGGTAAATAATGCCACTGTTATGCATCATGTATAACAGATGTTTTTCATAACTCAAAAGTTTGACATTCACACTATATCTTGTATGACTCAAGGAACCTAAAAACTAAAAAATTAAAAAAAAAAAAAAAAAAAAAAAAACTCACAAAACAATTGAGTTCCTACGAACCCAAAAGCCAACACACTACATAGTAGCACTAAAAACACTAATGGTGGTTTAAAACATAGGTCGAGATTGAAAAAAAAAAAAAAGAGTAAGAAAGTAATGACCAACGCTTCTGCTCCCACTATAATAGCATCTTTTTTTTCTTTTCTTTTTTTGTCAATTGAAGCAGGCCATGGTTGCGCAACAATGGCAGGACAGTGAGGGATAAGGGCAATTTTGTAAGACAGTGTGAAAAACACATTCATTCAAATAACACAGTGTGAAAAACACATTGATTTAGATCCTCTTCGATTAATTGATCGATTCCCATATGACTATTAACCAACTCAATACTGTAAACAAAACAAAACCTAAAGAAACTAACAAGAATTTCTGGTAATTTTAGTTTAAAAAAAAAGAAAAATAGAATTTTCAATCATAGATTTTCTGCTAATTTATCATTAAAAAAAATTCCTCAAGGGCTGAGTTTTTCTGGTCTCATGGATTGATATCAGATTCCTCCTACAATTTCTTCACTTCATCTTGTAACTATTCTCACTATGTAAGCAGAGAAACTAACCGAATAAAATGGAGTGAATGTGAGAGAGAGAGAGAGAGAGAGAGAGAGAGAGAAGGGTGGGGGAATCCGAACATACCTCAAGAACGAAACCCTTCCACTTCGAGCCGTCGATCGTTGCCGTCACCGAACCAGTCTCACCGTTGGAGGGAGTGCACCGTTCCAGATCGAAATCTGATGCCGCTGAACCAATTTCCCTTTCGAACTCTTCTTTCTTCTCCCTCTCTTCTATTATCTGATTTACATCTTTCACGTTCCTTTAGAACCCAGTTAGGAGCCAAACAGTTTGTTTTTTGATATAAAAAAAAAAAAAATTCTAGCTCTTAATTTTTGCTTAATTTTTTGGTGGCGCCAGATCCCATTTTATTTATTTTGGTGCTTAATTTTTTTTTGGGTCATACCATTTACGACATAAATTGTTCGTTGTGAAAAATAAAATATGTTTAATGACTAACTTACGCGTGTCGTATATAATTTATATATTTACGGCATGTCATATGTACGTCATAGAAAATTTTATTATTTACAGCTAACATTGTAAATCGTAAAAAAATCATTGTTATTAGCATTTACGACCTACGCAATAGACACGTCGTGGTTGTGAAATTATTTACGGCATGCAAAAAAAGCAAGTCTTAAAAATGAAAAACCACGGCTTGCATTTACTGTATGTCGTTGATATGAAACCGTAAAAACCCAATTTTGTTGTAGTGTAATAAGTACAATAACTTGCAGCCTAAATTAATGATTGATCAATCTTATGTAAATAGGTTGCTCATCATCAAAAGGACCCAACTCCAGAACATCTATAATTCATCTATTATCATAAAAACTTCGAATTAAAATATGATTTTTATGAGACCATGAGAAGAGACTGATGCGCGTCTGATGTGTATATAAATTTGATATAATTAGTAACATAAATCCAGTGTTGGAAGGCCAATTTCTGTGCTTTGGTGTCTTTGGACAAACCCTTACCAACCTACCCAACACAATTAACATGATAATCTTAAGTCACTTCGTTGAACACATAATAATATAATACTACTTAATTATTAGATTAATTGATATTTTAAGAAAATTATTACAGATTCATGAAATTTTTTTAAAGGAGTTTGGTTATTAACGATGTAAAATTTTACCATAGATGATTTTATAATTATTTTTAGAAATTACACTAAATTGGGGAAAAAATTTAGAAGAAGAGGAAGAAGCAGATGACCTTGGAAGCATTCAACCTGACTCGACTCCAACGAGAAGTTGTGGTCTCTAGTTTGGAGAAATTGAAGAATGTAATCGTACTGTGATTCAACCGAGCATAATCGATCGCTTGCCACCTTCAAAAGCATATATAAACAAACATATCTACTGTAATTGATTTGAGCTTATACATATATACATCCATATTAAAAATGTAAAAAAAATCAAAACGCCCAACCAGAAATCGTTGAATCAAATGCCCTAATTCAAAACCCCTAACTAGAAATCGTTGAATGGAAATCCAAATAGTTTAATCAAATGCCCTAATTTAAGAAGGGAAGGGTTTCAGAAAAGAAAAGAAACAAACTCTAGATTTAGAACCTTACCAAAAGTGCAGTCTTTCCTAAGCCAATGAGTTTCAAAAGGTTGTAAGGGAAATGAAGAGCACCATCTATAACGAAGAGGGTGGGTGTCTATTGGGGAAAAGGATCCAAATTTAGGGAAGATGAGGAGACATAAAGGTCGTGCCGATGAGGTGTTTATCGTTCTAAGAGAGAGAAAGAGAGTGAGAGAGAGAGAGAGAGAGAGAGAGAGAGCGTGAATCACAAAAGAGAGAAGAAGAAAAGAAGAAACGGTTGCGCGTGCGTGATGGGTGGGAACTCTCTAATGTGTAAAATGATCTCAGCCATTTATTTGTTGTTTGGAAAGATCTGTGGACCATTCTAATCAATTATAAATGATATATTTATAAAGGATATATATTTTCATATAAAGGATAAATTATAAAGGATATATATTTCCTTTTGATTAGAAGTAGTTAAAGAGTTAAATGTATTTTGAATTTTTTTTTTTAATTTGTGTTTTGGTGTTGGGGCCTTTTTTTTTTTATAAAAAAAATGGGAATTGTATATTTTATATAAAAATCAAATTGAAATATTTTATACAAACACACCTATTTAGGGAGTGTGATTAAATATATATATATATATATAATCACATTTATTTAAAAAGTAGTAATGTATATATAATCACATTTTAATTAGAAGGTGTGATTAAAAAATATATAAATAATCACACTTTAATTAGAATGTATGATTAAAAAATATATATATAATCACACTCATTTAAAAAGTGTGACTAAAAAGTAGTAGTGTATATATAATCACACTTTAATTAGAAGGTGTGATTAAAAAATATATAAATAATCACACTTTAATTAGAATGTGTAATTAAAAAAATATATATAATCACACTTATTTAAAAAGTGTGATTAAAAAGTAGTAGTGTATATATAATCACATTTTAATTAGAAGGTGTGATTAAATATATATATATATATATATATATAATCACACTTAATTGAAAAGTGACATAAAAAATAAATATTATCACACTTGCAATAAAAGTGAGATATTTTTCTTTTTCAAAGTGTGATCTTTAACTATTTTTGTAGTAGTGCCTCCTCCCTCCTCTAGGTTCAAAAATTTGAGGGTTAAGAGTTAGATGTAGTCTTGTATCTATACTTCCTTCTTTGCTTCATTTTTGTGCCTTAAAGTGTTGTTTTGTCTTAGTTTAACACACAAACACACACTCAAACACCTTCCTTTGGTTGCTGAGGTGCTAAGGGGTTGTTTTTGGTGTGCTTGGACTGGTTTAAGCTCAAAGAACTTGCTGGAGTTGCAGTTGTAAATGAGGTCTTCAAGGGTGAGCATTTGACCTTTAAATTCCTCTTTCTTGCTTAAGCTTTTAGCCCTTCTTTCATATGTTTTTAAGCTTAACTCTTAACTAGAAAAAGTTTTGTTTTTGTATTCTTAAAATAGTTGTTTAAGGTCACTTTTTCGTTTGGGGTGATTTACCCCCTCTTAGGCCTTGTTAGGTCTTATTTTGAGCCATCCCTTTAGGCTCTTTGTTGAAGCCTTTGCATGACCTTTCTACCACTGAAATCCAAAGGATTTTCTGTGGTGGAAAGGTGGTTTTGGTGTCTTAAATAAGAGAGGGTCATCCCCTCTCCTTGTATTGTGTTTACTTGCTTCATATGCCTCATGTTTGGGCACCTTTGTTAAGCTTATGTTGGCCATATCTTAGCTTGTATTTGTGGTTATTTTGCTGAGGCATACCACTGTTTTTGTTTGGTTTGGTCACTCCATGCATGGTTAATACACTTGTAGTGTAAATCTCTTAAACTAGCTTTGTATGCTTCATAAAGTAGCATGTCATTATAGCTTGGTTTGAGTCCATTTCAGCATGTATTTAGTGTTGTTTTACCATGTCATACCTCTCTTAGGGTTTGGTTTGGTTAACCTTTGCATGCTTCATGCACTTGTAGTGCATTTCCATGAAATAGCCTAACATGCATCATGCTTTGACATGTCATTTTAGCATGGTTTTGGCTTAGCCCTAAGAAGACTTTGTTCATGTTTTAGCATGTTTAAGGTCTAATTTGCGTTGTCTTGGTCATGCAGGACTTGCTTTGTATAGCTATGGTTCAATCTAGCTTGTTAGCTTTGTGCATCAAGCCCACTAGCATGCATTACTTGGACTGTTTGAATGATTTGGCATCATTTATTATATGATTTCAGTCCATGTTTCATGCCCATGCAGTTGCATTTTTTGCTCTTTCAATGCGTTGGAGGGTTTGCCCCTTTATGCCTTAACATGAACCATTGCGTATGCCTTCATGCCTAAGCTTGCGAGCTATCATTTCGATGTATTTTTGGGGTTATTACGCCATGATATAACTCTGATTTTTGTTTCTTAAGTCATCCCATGCTTGGTCTTAATAGGTGTAGTGTAATCCACCTTATTTGCCTTGTATGCATCATGTCTTATGCCCTTCATGATAGCTTGTTTTGGCTTCCTTTCATGCATGTTTTAGACTCATTTTAACATGTTCTAGGACTATTTTGGGTCGCCATGGTCACATGCTTCATGTTTTGTATAGTTGTAGTACAAGTGCCCTTGCTTGCTTCAAGCTTTGAGCACCATTGCATGCTTCATTTGTGTCGTGTACATGATCTGGCATTACTTAACATGACATTTCAGAGCATATAGACTTGCCATGTTCCCACTTCATTCACTCTTTAAGTGTCTTGGAGTGTTGTGCATTGTTGCCTACTCTAGGGCTTAGCTTGTGTGCTTGCATGCCTAGGTCTTTGAGCCCTCGTCTCATCATGTTTAGGTCTTTGTTTTGACCTAATAAAGCTCTGTCCATGGTTGGTTCATGCATTTGTGCCATGTATTGGATGTCTCTAGAGTAATCCTCCTTGTTAGCTTTCATGCTTTAGGACCATTGCATGCTTTACTTGCTTTGTTTGAATGATTTGGCATCATTTCTTACCTCATATCAGTGCACTTAGTGTTGTCACACTTGCACATTTGTCACTCTTTGAGCACTCTTGAGAGTTATACTCTTAGGCCTCTTTGATAGGCCATTGCATTGTATATGCATACCTTGCCTTTTGTGCCTTAATTTCATCACCAATGGCCACTAATTTGGACATGACTGAGGTCTACCCCTGTTGGTTTAAGTCAATTGATTATGCCATGTATATTGCATTGAGTATGCCATATTATTTCATTGCATTAGGTATGCCATCTTACATTGCTTTGTGCATGCCATGTGGTTATTTGCATTGCGTATGCCAAGTTGTTCCTTGCATTGAGTATGCATGTCCCTAACATTGCTAAGTTGCCCTTATAGCATTACATTGTGCATGCATGCATTAGCATTGTTCGCATATCATTAGCTTTGTTAAGTTGATCATGTCACATTGCATTGAGTATGCCATGTTGTTGTTTGCATTGTGTATGCCATATTACTTGTTGCATTGTGTTTGGAATAGGTGTTAGTCCAAACACGAGAAACGAGGGGCGTTTCATACTTGAAGTGATGAAACGTGCCTCAATTCTCAGTCGCCGACGTCCTTGATCTAGCATGATAAAGTTTTAGCCTTATTGCTTACTTGTGACATTCATTTTACATTGAATTATGCAACTTCGCCTCTCGGCCAACATGCATTGAAATGCGCGATTAGTGGCCCGAGGTCGAGAAC